GTTAGGAGCCAGTAATTTGTACGCTACTGCCCTAGCTGTTTCGATCTCTTCTAAGGAATAACTACTCAAACATATTTGTAGTATGGAAGTTTCGGGCAATGTTTCTACCTTATTGTTTATAAGGGCTAAAAGTTCATTGATCACAACACAACATTTGTCACATTTCACGTCTACTAGCGGTATTGGTATTGGTATTGGTTGTGGGCCTCGGTTTCCGCATTTAGACTCAGAGTGGTCCTTTATGCGTCGGGGATTGGTTGACTAGGTGAGCCAGCCAAGCTCCTTCCAGAAGCGCAGAAGCCTCCTGGGGCGTTCACAGGCTTCTAGGAGCGACTTTATATCAGGAATGATATTTGCCCGTTGTGTGGCCACTCCCTCGCATTCCAGGACTACGTGGGCGGCCGTTTCTTCAGCTTCCAGACACCCCCTGCACAGGGGGCTGTCCGTCGCATTGACTATGAATAGTTGTCGGTTCAGGGCTAGATGTCCTGTAATAGTTCCGACAACCATTCTGATTTCCGGTCTGCTAAGACTGATCAGTCTGCAGGTTAGTCGTGGCGTGACTTGATTCAGCACCAGTTTGGACTGTCTGCAGCCGGGTGAGTTTTTCCACCTCCGGTTGTGTGCTTCACAGGTCCGTTGCCTGACCCAGCATCGTATTTGGTTAAACGATATGGGCAGGAGTGGGGTTGGGCCAGAGGTTGGGGTTGCCGAGCCCCTCCTTGCCAACTCATCTGCGGCATCGTTCCCGTGTGAGTTACTGTGCCCTTTAATCCATTGGAGGAGTACCCCATTGAATATAGCGAGCTGTTCCAGTGCTTGGTGGCATTCGAGGACAACACCAGAGGTCATTGTGTTGCCCTCCAATGCCTTTAAGACGGCCATGCTGTCGGATATTATTCGGATGTTGTAGTCCTTGATACCCCTTGACATGGCCGTTGTGGCGGCGTAAGTTATTGCCACACATTCACACTGAAATATGGAACTGTGTTGGCCTAACGCTAGTGATATGTTTATATTTAGGTCTTGCGAGAAAACGCCGGCTCCAGTTCCTGACCTAGTCTTGGAACCGTCCGTGTAAATTCGGACTTCGTTAATGCCGGATTGATCTCGGTCATTTCCATGTATCTGGATGTAGTATCTTCTTGTGAAGATATGGTGTTTTGGGATTCTATCGCATGGAGCTGCTATCAGTGGTTCGTATTCCACCAATTGATCCCATAATTTAGAGTGCGATCCCTCCCTTTTGTGCCATAGACCTAGGTGTTTGAGTCTAATGATCGCCATGGCGGCCTCCTGCTGTATGAATAGATCCAGGGGTGGTAGACCAAGAGCCACCTCCAGTGCGGCAGTAGGCGTTGTGCGCATACAGCCAGTGACCGCGGAGCATGGGAGTCGCTGGAATTGCTGCAGTTTGTTTATGACGGTGCTTAGCTCTGTTCTCTGCCACCAGACAACAGCACCGTAAGTGATTATTGGTCTTATGACTGTCCTGTATAGCCATAAAGTAATTTTGGGTGATAGTCCCCAGCTTTTGCCGAGTAGCCGCTTGCATTGGCAGAAAATAATGCAGGCTTTATTCAATTTTTCATCGAGGTGCTTATTCCACAGGAGTTTACTGTCCAGTATTACTCCTAGGTATTTGACCTCTTTGGTAAGAGTAAGTTGTGTTCCAAATAGCTTGGGAAGTCTGAGATTTCCTAGGCTGCGTTTGTTTGTGAACATGATCATCTCTGTTTTGGATGGGTTCACTGTCAGGTTGTGTGCTGCGCACCATTGTTCCACGATCTTCAGTGCAAGTCTCATTTGATCGCATGTAATGCTCTCAAAAGGACCGCTGATGAGAATGGTAAGATGGTCTGCATAGCCTATTGTGAGGAATCTTTGGTCATTAAGTTGTGCGATGAGCTCATCCACAACAATGTTCCATAGAAGGGGGGAGAGTACACCGCCCTGGGGGCAACCTCTAGCCACCACTCCTCTAGTCACTTCGCTCACAGTGAATTGTATAGCTCTATATCTTAGCATGCTGTCGATCCACCCTGAGATTGTGGAATCAACACCATGCCTAGACAGAGCTTGGCTAATGCTGGTGAAGTTGGTCTTGTCAAAGGCTCCCTCGATATCGATAAAGGTGGCCAGTGTTGACCTTTTGTGATTTAGATTGTCTTCTATATATGAAACAACTCGATGTAGGGCAGATTCTGTTGATTTACCCATCGAGTATGCGTGTTGATTGAGGTGTAGAGGATGACTGACTAACGCAGTTTCCCTGATTTCCCTATCTATTAGCCTCTCAAGAACCTTTAGTAGGAAAGATGTGAGACTAATAGGTCGGTGTGATTTGGGTTGTGTGTAGTCACCTTTACCAGGTTTGGGGATGAAGACTACTTTAACTTCTCTCCATTTCAAGGGGATGTACTGATGCGCCAGGCAGCCCCTATAGATTTTTATAAGATGGTCCAGTAATGTCGTATCACACCATCTCAGTAGGCCTGGGAAGACACCATCTAGTCCTGGCGCCTTGAATGGTAGGAAGCTGTTAATTGCCCATCTTAGTTTGTCATGGGTGACAACTTTGCGGGCCGTATCCCAGTCTGTATCATCTGGTGGTTTTTTCCCATCTGTCTTCCCATTTTTCCATCACATCTGATATGCGACATCCAGGGAAGTGTGTTTTTAATAACAGCTCTGAGGCTTCCGAGTCTGTTTTGGTATACTTACCATCAGGCTTCTTCAGTGAGCCAAGATTGTGTTCGCCTCTACTACACAGTATGCTTTTGACTCTATTGGCCTGGTTGTTGTTCTCTATGTTAGTACAGAAGTTTCTCCAGCACTCAGTTTTCCTGGTTCTGATTCTCTTCTTATATTGTTGTCGGGCCTGCGTGTAGGCATCCCAATGTTGGTCTAGTCGCGAGTTTTTTGCTTTATTGAACAACTTTCTCACTTTACGACGTAGTCTTTCCAGTTCCGGACCCCACCATTGGTGTTTGTTCTGTGGTCCAGTTCTGGGTGTGGAAAGTGGGCATGTTTGTTCAAAGCAATCGATCAGTGTCTGTGTAAGGTTGACAACATGACTGTCAATGTCCTTAACAGTCCCCGTAGCGTATGTTGGGTTGATGCTTCGCAGATTCTCCGCAGTAAGATGTTCATACCGTTTCCGGTCCATCGTGCGGGGATTCCGTCGGGGATCGGGTAGTTTAAGTTTCATTTCAAAGTTAAATTTGATCCAGCGATGGTCTGAGCACGATGCTTCGTTCGAAACATGCCAGTTCGATATGTGTTGCGATGCATGCTCACTTGCTAATGTAAGATCAATTATAGTTTGGGCCCTGGACGTGACAAATGTCGGCTCCGAGCCCACGTTGATAATGTTAAGGTTAGTTGATAATAGGAACGATACAAATTCCTCACCTCTCCGGTTGTTGCTCCTGCTGCCCCACAGCGCATGGTGCGCGTTGGTGTCGGCAGAGATGATCAGCTCCAGACCCTCGCGCTCGCAGTGGTGTGCCAGCGCAGCCAGCTCCGGAGTGGGGATGTCAGCATCGCCCGGCAAGTAGGCTGATGCTATCACCACGTCAGGCAGGTTTGATGAGGGTTCCTTTAACCTAATAGAGGTAAGGTCTCTGGAACAGAACTCGGTCATTAAGGTAGTACACGCATGTTTTGGTGTATAAATACAAGTGCGCGGGTTATCAATGGTAGTGTTGAGAAGTATCTTACCTCCAATATTATTTAGACCGCAGATCCTGCCCTTCCTAATCCACGGCTCCTGGATTAGGGCTACGGTGTTGGTTTTTACCTCCAGCTCTCTGCGTAGGGTAGCCGTTGCTGTATAGCTGTGCTGGAGGTTGGTTTGGATGGCTATAAGGGTGTTATGGGGGGGTGCAGACAGCGCCATCATCGCTGTTCAGCATATCCTCTATGTCGTCGAGGTCACTCTCGCCCACCGGTAGGTCCTCCAACTCCTCAGGAGGTGGACCCCGGCAGGCTGTCTCCTCAACGGGTCTCAGAGGATCCCCTCCATTGCCGTCCTTAGGGTGTTGTAGGGCCGATTCTCCTCCTCCCTCGAATGGCTCCTCGTTTGGGTTAGTTGGTGGGGCGGGACGTTCATCAAGGAAGCGGACGTAGAGGTTACCCAGTTTGTAGTATACTCTACGCTCGCTAGCCTTGAGCTTCACGACGTCCTCTTCTGGGATGCCGAGCACTAGGAAGAGACATTTCTTTTCCTCCTGCGCCTCGGCATGGTAGAGGGCCCAGTTGGCCACATTGTACTGGCTATTCTGGTACTTTAGCCTCGTTTGAATACGGACCAGTGTATCATCTGGTCCGATTTGTGGTACCAGGAGTCCAGCCTTGATCCTTTTCGGGATCTCAGACTGCCTCCTGACGACCAGTTTGGTGCCTTCACGTGGTGATGGGATCCTCACCAGGGATCGGCGAAGCCACTGTAGGGCATATTCGTCGTTGCACCACATCTTAAGGGCGCCCTCACTGTAGAAGGCCTTGCCCCTAAACTGTGGCGCAGCGACGGGTGCGCTTGACGTGCCGGGCGAGAAGATCTCCTCATCTAGCACGCCCTGCAGCTGGCCCTCGATGTCCTCTGCCTGTGCCTTGGTGAGGTCGTGGTAAGGCTCCAGCATGACCGCGACGCAAAGGTCATTCGCCTTTAGTGCGTCGGAGTAGCTCGTGGAGCCGGTCTTTGGCAGCGGTTTGAATCGCTTGCCACTGCCCTGGGGAGTGCGAGACTCGTCCGGGCGAGTTCTTTTGACGGGCTTTGTATCACTTGAAGGTTTCCCTCCACGTGTCGCTCGTCTCGCCCGTTTACCCTGTCCAGGTTGACCCTGCCTAGAGGGTAGAATAGTAATTTCTTTAAAAAAAGTCGTAATGTCTATGTGGTCAAAGGACACGGTGGCAGTTTATTCAAATTTTTCCACAAAACACGGTAAATTCGTAGGTTCAGATTCTTTTATTAGCTTTATTATCTCTTGCAAACTTTTCTACTCAGCACCTTCCTTTCTCCGCATAATCCTTTTGTTAGGAGCCAGTAATTTGTACGCTACTGCCCTAGCTGTTTCGATCTCTTCTAAGGAATAACTACTCAAACATATTTGTAGTATGGAAGTTTCGGGCAATGTTTCTACCTTATTGTTTATAAGGGCTAAAAGTTCATTGATCACAACACAACATTTGTCACATTTCACGTCTACTAGCGGGTCACTGGTGTTATTATTGACACTCGGGAGCGGGGAGCGCAGCGCCATTGCTTTTTTCGAACGTGCGTCGCGTGCGAAATCCGCGTATAGATTGAACCAACCGCGTATAGACTGAATAATAAGATAATTATTTATTTTATTTATTTAACTTAATGCACTAGTTGTACACAGGCGGACTTATTGCCCAAGGCATTCTCTGCCAGTCGACCTTCGGGTGATGTAGAAAAATGATGCTATAGGTGCAAGAGAAAACAGAGAATTTGACTTGTTTATATTAAACTTATTAATTTAGGATAAATCTAACTTACATATATACACTATATACTATATATAAAATACTATATTCATAACTAAATATATACATAGAGGTCTTAAGTATACACATACAATACATGAACATACACATTTATATATACATAAATATCAAAGTACATAGTCGGGTACTAGCGATGTAACCTTTCTGCCAACTTATTTTGTAGAAGTTCTTGTACTTTTGTAGAAGTTCTTCTTGAACGTAAACCGGATAGTGAACATCCTGATTTCAACTGGGAGCGCATTCCAGAGAAGAACTGACTGTACATAGAAATAAGAATTATTATTATTAATATTATTATATATTATATCACAGATCTGATGCGTGCATATCACTGCACTTGTGTTCGTTTTGTTGTTTTTAAATGTTCGTCTAGTCTGTTTTTAAAAATGTTCACTAATCCAGCACTAATTACTCTTTCGGTAAACTATTCCAAATGGTCACCACGCGATTTGGTAGAAAGTGTCTTCTAGGGTTGCTAACAGACGGAGACCTAGTGAGCTTCAATGGGTGTCCTCTCAATCGGGTATTAGAATTCATAGTGTAGAGGTTTCCGATGTCTTTCACATTGTAGTGTCCAGTTAATATTTTATATGTTTCAATCAGATCTCCGCGTTGCCAGCGTTGCTCCAGTGTAGTTAAGTCTAGTTCAATAAGGCGTTCCTTATTTGACATATTTTTTAACGATATAACATTTTTTTTAGTCCTCCGTTGTACTTTTTCGAGCATTTCTATGTCTTTCTTGAAGTATGGATTCCATATTTGAAATGTGTACTCCAAGAGCGGGCGGATATATGTTTTGTAGATCTTTATAAACAAGTCTTTTGTTATGATGTTAAATGCTTTTCTAACCACATACAGCATGGAATTGGCCCTCTTCACTATATTTGTGATATGTACATCCCACTTGAGGTTATGTGTGATGGTTACCCCTAGATCTCTTTGGGAACTTGCAGGTTGCAGTTCCACCGAACCAATCTTGTATTTCAACTTCGGGTTGTTGTGGCCTATATGTAAAACGATACACTTCGTTGCATTTAGTGGGATGAGCCAGTCCTGTGTCCACTGTACAATACGATCCAAGTCCTGTTGTCCAAGCTAATATTAAATACCAATTACTGAATAGTTTCATTCAGCTTAAAAAAAAAAAAAAAAAAAAAAGTTTATAGAGTAACTTACTAAGTAATGGATAATATTTCGATAGGCCAGTTAAATCTTCATAACGATAAAATAGCTACATCAGAATTAGACCGTTTAATTTTAGAACAAAAGTTAGACATTGTCCTTATACAAGAACAATATCAGAGCGCTCGCTTGCATTGTAATGTAGTACAGCTTGACTGCCGTTCGCAGGCTGGGATATATGTTGCAAGTTCTAATTTTACGGTAACATCTTTGCGTAATCTTATGACGTCACACTGCGCCGTTGCTGAGATCTCATCCTCTACCTGTAAGGTTTACGTAGTGAGCTGCTATTTTCAATATTCACATCCTATTGATCCTCACTTACATCACTTACGTTACGTCTTGCAGTTCCTCGTGGGACATAAAATTATCATTGGCGCTCATGTCAATGCGTCATCTTCATTATGGTATTTCAAGTTGCGTTCAACCGACACGGTTCGACGTTGTGCGGTTGAAGATTTCATTGCGGAAATGAATCTTACTATTCACAATACCCCCGATGCACCACCAACTTTTTGCAACCCAATGGGTGAGTCTTCTATTGACGTGACGCTTACGCGCGGCGACGTCTCGATATCCGGATGGCGTGTCCTCCCGGACGCATCCTGTAGTGATCACCGCTTGATCGTGTACGAATTCATACCAAGGGTTGCACGGGATCCACAAAGGGCTCCTTTTAATTTTAGATGTAAAACTAAAGGTGCGAACTGGGCTTTGTTTGGTTCACTATTCGCAACTCATACCAAAGACTTCAGTCGCAGTAGTTTATCAGCTGAGAAAAGCGCAGAAATACTATCAGAAACTTTCACATACTGCGCTGATGTATCTATTGGTCGCGGATCTATCACTAACACTCGTAGATGTGATTGGTGGAATGATAGATTAGTCGAACTACGTAGAAGCTACCGGAAAGCTCGTAGAAAATTAAACAATTTTAAAAAACACAATGTAACAGGAGATTTGTACAATAATGCTCTCATTGCTCTTAGAGTTGCCAGGTCCCACTACAGAGCTGCAGTGGAAAAATCGAAGGGAAACTTAATTCAGAAACTTGTCGATAGACTCGATAGAGAGGGCCCGTGGTCACCTTTGTATAACGAATTTAAGGCAAATAGATCAATCGACCTTGCATACATACAGAACATCAAAATTTATAACAGATATACCACAGGAGTAGAAGAAATAGCAGAATATCTTTTAGAATCACTCGTACCTGACGATCGGCCGGAGAACGACACTGATCATCACCGACAGATCAGGCAGTGGGCTATCGAACCACCACTGTCTCCAATGTCTGATTTACCATCTTCAGACGAATTTCTCGGTGTCATTAGATCCTTGCCACTAAACAAGGCTTCGGGCGATGATAAATATCTAACAAAATGATCAAAGAAGCTTGTAAACTTTCGGGTGACACGATTTTCACTGTCTTTAAACGTTGCATTGCTGAAGGAATATTTCCTCGTATATGGCGGTGCGGTAATATTCGTATAATACCAAAAAGTGGCGACAAGCCACCGGATGATCCTAAATCCTACCGACCAATCACATTGTTACCATCGTTAGGAAAGCTTTTAGAACGTCTTGTAGTGCCCCGGCTTCTGCCAGGTGGAGTCAAATTTCATGATAGACAATTTGGATTTACGTTGGGTAAATCGACAACTGACGCTGTTATATCGGTTAGAAAGTTTGTCACAGAGTCAAAATTTCAATACGTGCTGGCTATTTTCTTAGATATATCTGGCGCCTTCAATAACGCATGATGGCCCATGCTGTTGCTGAAATTAAAATCACGGGGGTGCTTTAAAAATATTTATTCCCTTATATCTTCGTACTTTTCACAAGGTACTACTAAACTACGACTTGGTCATCATTCTGTGTCGAAGGCGCTTACAATGGGATGTCATCAGGGATCGGTGCTAGGTCCATACTTGTGGAATATCGGCTTCGACGATTTTCTTGCGATACCAATACCATCCGGATGTACTCTGAACGCGTATGCTGATGACGGCTTATTACTGGTGGAATCTGATACTAGGGCGGGGCTTGAGAGATTAGCCAATGGATGTTTGAACTTGATATCTCAATGGGGTGAACGTAATCGCTTAAATTTTGCACCCAACAAAACCTTCCAGCTACTTTAAAAGGTAACCTCAAATCACCGCCAAGCATTAGATTTGACAATGTTACTGTAAAAAATAAGGCCTCAGTGTGTTACCTAGGATTAGTTTTAGAAAGAAACTTTTCATTTATCGAACATATTAAAATAGTTAATGAAAAGTCTAAAAAGAGTTTCTGTGCATTGACAAGGATATCAACTGCGACATGGGGTCTATCATTTAATACATTAAAGATCATATACGGAGCTACTTATTAAGGTTCTATGTGCTATGGTGCACCTGTATGGCCGATAGGGCGACCGTAGGCGCTGTCCGTCGCAAACTGTTACAAGGCCAACGACTTGCACTGATATTCTTGTGCAAGGCATATAGGACGGTTAGCACTGAGGCTTTGCCGGTGTTGGCGGGTGTGCTTCCGGTCGATCTCGAAGTGCAGAGACGTGCAGCCATGTACTATTCAAGACAACAAAACGTGGAATGCGATTTTTTGGGCGCGCGGGATCGCGGTAAAATTACAAGATTGCTTCAACAGCAGTCCGATGTCTATAATGACCTCATAGACGAATGGCAACAACGCTGGGATGAATCATCCAAGGGGCGCCATCTTTACCAATTCTTTCCATCTGTTCGCGAACGGTTGTCGAGGACATGGCTTGAGGTGGATCACTGTTCGTGCGCCGTCCGCGTGTTTCGGCTACTCTCGGCTGTCTTCGGAGAAGGCAGCTGTGCAAGGCAACTACGGGGGGCCGCGGGGCGCGGCGCGGAGGTGCCAACCGTCAGCTGTTCCCGAGGCCATTACCTCTGAAGTCCGCAAGCATCGCACGCGCACCATACTTTAATTGTTTTTATTAATATATGTACAAATTTACAGTCCATTGCCTTTAAATTATTTACCCGTAGATCAGGGATTTAACATTGGTCCTTCAGCCATCTATTACGCCGCGATTTGAGAAGATCAAGAACGTCGGCCACCGGCAGAAAAAATAAATTAATAACCGTTGAAAATTCAAAGTGGTGTGTGTCGTGTCTTCTAGCTAACTGACGTATTGGCAGTAGAAGTTGCCGTCTTTATTCTCGAAGTCTTCTAGACACTGTGCTTCGATTATCAATATCGATCAAGTCATCGCTTCGAGAAAATTAAAATCAAGATGATTCCGAAGCCTTCCAGACTGCAGGTCGAATAATCTGAAGATATAACTGCCAAGTCATTACTTCGCGTAATCTGTGGATGGGGATATTTGTGGTATCGTTCCAATATTTTTACCCTCTTATTTCCTATCCAACTATTTCTGTTAAAAGTTTGAATTATTTTAAATTTAAATTACTTTTCAAACCGTTTTTTTTCCTTTAACTGTTCTTGTTTGAGACATACAATAACCAGATTGTTTCATAAGGCTATATTTCGCTGTGCATTGCTTTCTAGCGTGCGC